ACTGGTGTTGAGAAACTCCCATCTATGACATCCATCCATCCATTTTCTAATCCTCCACTTATCCAGTACAGGGATGTGGGGGAGCCAGAATCTATCCCAGCAAGGAACAGATTCAAGACACGATACACCCTGGACTGGACGCCAGTCCATAGCAAGGCACACACAGACACATACATGCATATACTCATACCAGGGCAAAATATACAGAAACCAATTAGCATGCCCATACGTCAGTATGCAGGAGGAAACCAAAACGTTCAGTGGAAAACCCGCAAACACAGGGAGAATACCCAGGGCTCCAGTGCCCCAAGGCAGCAATGCTAAGTGCTGTGCCACCACTCACTGTAGGGTACTCCAAACTATTTTAGTTTTCACAGGATAACAGATATTGTCAAAATGCCAGCACCAGATTCTAACTAGATAACGCTCTTCAATAGTCACAATGTTTAAGTAATATTTGCTTTCCTGTTTTATTGGTACTGTTGCATTATGCACAAGAATTTGTGCATTTTGTAAAGCCTGAAGAGGATCTTTATTAACTTTTCTGTAATGGGAGATTTTCTTGCTTTTGTGCAATATACATGCTTAGGTGTTTGAATAGGTCTGCACAAAATATTTGAAATAGTTATTTATAACATTTATATTGAAATAAATCATCGTTTCCTCTTCTTTACACCCATCTGTACAATTAATTATCCTTCTCTTTACACATGGGGAGTCAATGGCACAGCCTGGCCCGAACCAGGCTGAGACGTCGGTAGTTTGTGTTATTTATTCTGGGCTCTTGTCTCTGGGCAGAGTGCGTGGTTGACTGCTACAAGTTTGTGTCCTGCAATGCTTTTGGCGTCACTGTAGCTGCTCTCAGCAGCTATGATCCCCACGTGAGAGCAGCAGCTTATCAGGTCTTGGGACAGTTTTACCACCATTTAGATGGAGCTCGGTTCAAGGAAAGAAGACAGGTAAGGCCAGCCGTTACTTAAAACAGTGGGCTTACGCTGTGTGTCAGTGTTTTGCCAACAGATATCAATTATTCAATTTTGGTAACGCTTAACTTGAACTACATAATAGCTCCTTCATATGCACTACACAATGTATCGATGTGCACCAGCCAATGCTTTGGCAAACACTTGTGCCGATGACGTTACAAGCAGCAGTTATTCCAAACAGTTCTCAACAAGAGACACTACAGAGGAGAGCTAAGAGCAGAATTCCAGAATTCTGAGCCAGGTGAAAGTGCTGGAAGACGGCATGAAAAATTTGAGAGATAACCAGAAATTTCTGCAGATGTGAGACCGAGACAGTGGTCTTGCTATGTTTATGTTAAAATTGATTTTTTCATATGGTTTTTATGCCTATCATTATCTCATGTCTTTATGAAGACTTTATGACAGACACTATCAAGTAAATTACTAACCTTATTTATTTTAGACGCTGTATCTCTGTTTAGTGCTTAGTACAATAAAAACTTAAAGAATTGTGGTCTGTCATCAAATGATATTTCAACTACAAGAGCGCATTTTGTAATTTTTTTCATATCTCAGAGATACTACTTCACATACGAAAATGGGAGAAATGTAGAAACTTCACACAGGAATCAAACTCGGGGCCCAAGAGGCTGCAGTGCTAAAAGTCACTCTATCATACTACACGAAATGGGAGCATGAGAGCAAAGTTTAACTGCAAGGAGCCAGTTCAGCACCAGCAGGTCTAAGCATGCCGCAAGTCTCAGAGGGGATGTCAATATTTGATTCTCATCAAATCCAG